ATAACAGTTATTCGACCAATAAAAAGGCAGCGAGCAGATTATGGATTACAAGCAAGGATTACAACTCCTCCACCAAACTTTTGTTTGGGACTAAAAAGTACTTGATCGAGTGTTTGTCAGAAATAATATCAATTTCCACACAGAGGGGATATTTTTTGAAGGTTGAGGCGGACCCGCTGTCAGCTTTCCGTTGAGTCATGTTCTCAAATTGATAGCCAGTGGGGCCAGTGTTGCAATTCCAAGAGTGGAGTAAAGACTTGGCGAAGAAAAACTGCTGTCAGAGGAGCACTCAGCGAAGAAGAGGGAGGGTCTTCCTCTCACTGTTGATGTTAAAAACCTGTGGAGCATTTCCAGTTACTCCCAGGGTTTTCATAGAGTTGAGAGTCCCCCCCCCCTATCTCCGGAGGCTTGCAGGTCTCTACTGGTTTACACACATTTTCCTCTCTGATTTCCAACAGAGAGGGGTGTCTACAGAAGGTCCAGTTGTGATAGACACGGTTCGCCACTGGACTGAAGTGATGGTAATGTTGAAACTAGGTGATGGAAATGAGTTTACAAGGAAGACACATGTGAAGAAATGGGTTTTCAGTTTGCTTTTAAAGAAGTCAACGGATATCAGTTCCTTGGCCTCAAAAAAAGGAGCGTTGGATATTGTTATGAAGCAAATCAATGGCAGGATGATGTCTTGTCACGCCGCTAACTGCTCAGCACATGCAGAATTTGGCTTTTCAGGGTTTGGTAGGATCAGACAGTGGATGAAAACCAAGGAAAAGATCGTGCCGGGAGATTTGGAGAAGTATTGGTGCTGACCTTTACTATTGGATACAGACTACCTGCTGAGAGAGAGGCTAAACTACATCTGACGTCAAAATGTGCTTCTGTCAGTGCGTTAAACTCAAACAGGCTGTGTGGCTCTAGCTCTGTTGGCCCGCCATCTTGTACTCTAGACTGAAATACGTCGACAACTATTGTATTAATGGCCTCAAAATGTCAATTGCGCCAAAACGATGATTGCTTTTGTCATGATGGCAATTCAACCTCTTTTGATGTTGCGCCACCAACATTTCTTTATGTGGTTTTGAGCTAAATGTCTTTGAGCAACACATTTGTTCCTTTCAAAGAGATCTTTCTTCTTAAAATATGGGCTAATTACGATGTGTTATACTTGTGTATTCATTAAAGACATGAGTCACCCTTTCAGGACTAGGCAACAAGTTCGAACTTATGTCATGTGACCTAGTTAGCTTTTCCGTAAGCGCCCGTCTTCCCCGCTTGGTTTAAACTCATTTGCTTTTAAAGCTACTTCATAATAAACATATCAGGCTATTTGAGACATACTAAATCTGGTTTTCACCATTCTTGGTATATCCAAACCACATACATGCTGATCTCTACTCCAATTTGATCGGATCAGGAGAAAACGATGAAGAAAAAATAACTTTTTATGTAGCGCCACCAACATTTCTTTATGTGGTTTTGAACGAAATGTCTCAACAATGGACCTTTCAAAGAGATCTTTCTTCTGACATTCCCAATACCAAAAAGTATTCATTTACCCCCAACATACAACAGATAACAACATCTCTCACTTTCTCAACTTGGTGGAAGTTTCCCTGAGCCCCCTAAAGCCTGAGAAAAGTGAATCAACGGGATGATGTTTCTCTGCATAGCTTGGTTTAGCCTCTGGCCTTGTCTCCATAAACTAATGGAGCAGAGAGTTGTCTCCTAATCTTGTTCTAAGCTCAGTGCAGTGATGTGAACAAGCTTTATTATCTGCTCACTACTGTGGATGAGACGCTCCATACCGGCCTTGTCACAACGTAATGGACACACAGACACACACACACACACACACACACACACACACACCCACGCACACATGAAAGCCCTATTAAGTCTAACCTTTTATTCTCACATAAGACACTCCTTAAAAACAATTAATCCTTCGTGCAGAACCACCTAGGCAGGGAGTGTGTTTTGGCAGAGGCGCCGGGGAGGAAATGAAACCGACTTTCACTCCAATTGTTGCTCAGATTCACTCATCCATGTTTGAACCTCCCCAAAACGTCTGCCAATGTTAACTGTCATCACAAACCAACTCTCTAAAAGACGAACGGTCTCTGCCAAGATGCCACTGTCAGCAGTTTTGTTTTTACTGGGAAGAGAACTGATTGTATGCAGATGATTTATTACTGTGCATTGTGCTTTGTTTTCTCACTGAAGGGCAATACAGAGTATATGGTTTGTGAGTCCTTGACAGGGTTGGAAAGTAGTATTTTATATTGCTATGGGACCACATTTCAAATTGTATTTAAGATTACTACAGTATGTGCATCCAAAACATGATTAGCTTGTAGAATATGATGCATGTTACAAGTTAAAATGACCAACAGTAGGAAAATGGATTGAAATCAGCTTCACCTCAACTAGAAACTACATTAAAATGATAAATGTCAGCAATAATAGGCCAATATTATATGTTCAAATTTAATGGAAACCTATGAAAAGGGCTTTTTTGGATAATTACTTATAATGATACTTAATAGTACACGTTTGCTTCTTCTTCTTCTACACTTTTACTTGAGTAAACCTTTGAATGCAAGACATTCACCTCGACTGGAGTGACTCTCACTTCAATTGCAGTTTTTTAAAAATGTTGTTATTGTATCTTCAGTAAACTTTAATACATTCAATTGTTCGTCAGAGACAAACGTGTCTTGAATTTGAATCCTAAACCAATGGAGAATACGGCTTTAAATGGGGCTTTAATAGTAAGGATTGTTCCATTCACACGGAATTTATTTTAAATCTTTGCCCAAATTAAATTTACGATCCCATGTGCAGAAACATCTCTGCCAAAAGGAAGGCGTAAATCCTAACCTCAGACTGTAAAAAATGTACATTTTTCAATGTTAGGTCGTTTGTCCATCTTATATTTTTACGAGGACAGATCAAACAATTGTACATTTAGCAGTATAGCAACATTTGGAGAAAGTAAGGTTCGGTTAGGGAAATCTCCATTTCTGCTTCATGCACTTTGTATATTTTACCTTATTTGACATTGTACTAGGGCTGTCCCGAATACCATTTTTCGGGTTCCGGATAGTCGGTAGTACTCAGCAGCGAATATTCGAATATTCAGCGCGCCTGGGGTAATCAGCAGCGAACCGCTTCAACACGTGTATTTCTGTGTATTCACGGCATTCATTTTGTTATTCTACAGTATTGTTGTTTTATAGTTATTTGTTAATGTAACCCAATTTGTGTTCTTTGAAATTGAAAAGGATATTGCATTGTGTGTGTTACTTTCGTTGCAGTTGTATTTATGTCTTAAGTGTAATTTGGCTTGCTTTCCTATTTTGTATGGTCATGCTTTTATTTTGAAGGAGAGGTAGCGCTGTTGACAGGAAGTCGTTGTTGCTATGGAAACAACGTGACAGAGATTAGCGGAGAAAAAGTAATATCTACATATAAAGACCGAGAAAGTAAACGATAACGTTTATGGTTAAGTGTTAGCACCCCCCGAAGAGGCACAAGCTCTTACGTTGATATTGGAGTTTTCAATAAATTCAATTTAAAAAACGAAAAAAAACTAATATCCGAATAACGAAATTGAAACCCAAATAGTGCTCCAACGAACGAATATTCGGGTACAGCCCTACATTGTACGTCTAAAGTTGACCTGCAGCTGTATACTTAAATGTGCACTCACTGGAACAATTGCATCTGTATCTAAATCGGCTCATTATGAAATGTTCTACATGTGAATTAATTAAAAGACATGAGTCACCTTTTCAGGAGGCAACAAGTTCAAACGTATGTCATGTGACCTAGTTAGCTTTTCCCGTAAGCACTTGGTTTAAACTAATTTACACACTTTGAAACGCCGCTTTCAAAATCCACTCACGCGTCAACTTGAACTGTTTCGCGGAGACAAAGAAAGACGTAAAGAAAGAAAAAGGAAAGCAGAAAAAACTCCAGAGAGAGAAAAAAGACAAGGGAACAGGTTTCATTAGAAAAGTGGGGTCAAGCGGAAAGACATTAATACAAATAAAGAACGGGGGTGAAGGAGTGCAGCTCTGTAATCTCTCTCTCCTCATCAGTGCTTGTTATAAAGTCATTAGCAGGGCTTTCAGACCGTGACGCTTACAACCTCCCTGAAGACTACACACACACACACACTTACATGCATGTTACTGAGCCCCATTTTCAGTTCCCAAAGATGTTTTACTCGACCCGTGCTGCCCCGAAATTCAGACTTCAGATTGAAGCCAAACAGGAGGCGTAGCAAAAGGGGGAATTAAACTATTTAAGCGTATTAACTCTTATTAGATGTCTCGATAGGATGTACTATATGTTTGAGTGTATGTCCAGTAGAAAGCCTTCAGGAAGACCATGCATGCACTCATAAGGATTTGTGTTCTCTACTCTATGTTTTTTTCACTTCGAATTACCACCATGTGTTTTCCTTTCTTTCATGTTCTTCATAAAAGTCTCTTTAGCACCAATATGCCATTTCCCACCCCGAGGATAGTTACACTTCAGGAGTGAAGCGTGTTTTGGGAAATGTGCACCGTGGACAGAAATAAATGGCAAAACATGGAGAGAAAAAGTAAACAGATGTGACAAAAGAAACAAGCTGTAAGGAAGCAAACAAGAAAAACATGCACGAGGGAAGTAAACTAGAATGCATTTAAAGAAAGCACTTTTCGACACGCATTCATTGGCTTTTTGGATGGTTTCTTTGCGTACAATCCTGAGCTATAAGTCTATGGAAACAGATGTGTTGTATCGTATTGATCAGAGCGTTCAAACAACACTTTGATATCTGTATTGGAGTTGTCGTTCCAAATTAACGGTGCATTCATTGGAATGTTTCAACACATGAATGCAGCACAAATGCCCGATAATGCAATGTACGAAAACATATGGCAGAGTTTCCGTCAATAGTTGCTACCAGGCACTTCAAATCGTTCTTCTCATTTTGGATGTGTTTGTAGGTGCGTAGCCAGGGTGTGACAGAGGAGCTGAAGTGCCTGAGCTTGCTGAACCTGAATCTGGATAAAGACCAGGACATCCCCGAGCAGCTGGCACAGCTTTTTGGAGAGCCATGCATCAAACTGGCCGAGGGCATCAAAGCATACATCTCCAAGGTAAGAAACGAAAGTAAATACGACATTTACTGATTTTCAGAACAAGTACGAGTACAGAGGAGTTTCATTTTAAACCTCTGTATTCGACTTGGACAAAGAAATCCTACTTTATCACTATTGTCTTCAGCAGTAAATAACTTCTAAGGTATTTTAATATTGGTATTTCTACTGGTATGAGTCCAGTCTCCAGTAAAGTAGGTCAAACAGTTGTGCAGGGGTGAAGAGTTCTAACTGTGCTAAATCAATGACGGCAAGACATGTTTTTTGTAGGTGTTTTTCGAATACAAAGCAGCGAATCATACACAACGCGTCAAAATCAGTCAATAGCAAAATACAGTATGTTATAACAGAAATACAGGCAAACCAAAAGTGGTGATATTTCAAATATTCAACGTCATAACTACACTGTAGCTTTGTACACATGACAATAACAGTCTTCAACCTTAAATTAAATGCATTACTGCCATGCTTAAATCATGACAATGCTAACAGATGAAATCCAGACTCTAATCTTGAATCACTTAATGATATATTTTGGATATGAACTGAGCCCTGTGTGGGGGTCTCTGCTGCCCTCGGGGTTAGAGAACAGATGGTGTTACAGTGAGCCCAGAAACACATGTGCGGACTGATTGGGGAAATTTGTCATCGTAAAAAGGGGAATTCTTCAGCTGTGAGAATGTAAGACTCGTCACATAAGTACAGTACAGTTATTCAGGGCATGTGTGTTGCATTAAACACATTGAGATGGACGAGGCGACAGTTCCATTTTAGCTTTATTAAAAACTGCAGATGTACCGTTTTATTACAAAATGGTTATAATGTTTTCATTCTCCCAATATTAACTCTAAGGTCTGATCTATCGCCTCAATCATCACATTTCCAGCCATCAACTTACAATATAACACTTAATAAGACAGTATTTCTCATACAAAAACTGTGATGGATTGAGAGAAGGAGAAACGTTATTAGTGTAGGAAATGTAAGAACTACAATCGTTATCTCAGTGTGTACCGACATTGTTCACGCTGTACCTCCATTAGCTGATCAACATGTTTTCCGCAGACAAACATTTGTAGCTAACAGTCAACATACAAGCATTTAAGCTATTTTGTTTATTTTTAGCACCTGCGGGAGGTTGTTGCTGGTGGAAGTGATAGTGCAGGGATTCATTCAAGTGTGTAAGGCTTTGGAGATAAGCTTGATCTTTAACCTCACTGTTTGCGAGGGCCTGTGCTAGAATAAACACGTCTGTCTCTGGCTGTCAACATGGCTCCACAAAGCCATCAATAACTGATAAAACCTCAGTGAATACAAACCTGTGGTGTGTGTGTGTGTGTGTGTGTGTGTGTGTGTGTGTGTGTGTGTGTGTGTGTGTGTGTGTGTGTGTGTGTGTGTGGTGTGTGTGTGTGTGTGTGTGTGTGTGTGTGTGTGTGTGTGTGTGTGTGTGTGTGCCAAGTGTCTGCTTAGTAGCTTCATCTGCAGAACTGCTTGATGCACCACTGCAATACATCAGACAAACACAGTTCAAATTAAAGTGTATGTACGCCCACTTGCAGATGGCACAGACACAACAATTCAGGTGTTACCATAAACCTGTCTAAAGGAACTCCTGTTTTGAAAAACATACGTGCGACACCCCCCCCCCACACACACAATGTTCTTTATTTCGATTTTCCAAGAAACTGGAGGTACCCAGAGTTCTTTTAAGGAACCTTATAGCACATACATACTGTTATCAGTGTTGTCTGGTCGCTGTACTCGTCACATTACAGGACTATTTTGTAATAGAGTATCTTGAGATTTTTGGTTCCCACAACAGGGATAATATGCCTCAAATCTGGTCAATCTGGCGGCATTCTTCAAATACTTCGCAAGCAGAAGTAGTAGCCAAAATCAAGTGTGAACTGGCTATAATGTGCCTCCATTGGTCAGTGAACGAAACTACAATAACAACACCGGCAGGAATCTGTCCCTTCCTCCTTCTTTGTATCACATGTCTCCCCACAACTACAAACATCTTGTGTAAAAGGATAATATTGCCTCCAAATGTAGGTTAACTGCTTTGGTAGCTGCAGTTGAGGGGATTGAGTCAAAGTGTCCTTGAGAAACCCCCAGATTACCCCAGATTGCTCCCAATGATGCATAACATAGAACAACGTCAGCCAATTTGGACCAAAACAGTGATTGTATGATGTTTCTCCATATGTTTAGGTTTACAAGCATCTGGTTTGACTTGTCTTCGAGAATCAGACCAGAAAAGTAGTTTGTTTGTACCAAGACGGGAATGGACGGGTCACACTTCCCTCAGTACTTATGCTAAGTCAGCGTGAAAAGAGCAATGGCTTCAGGAAGCTGTGGTCCGAGAATCCCCCTCTCTCACACACACATTTACGAGCCCACTGAGTCACTCCATTGATATAAGTCCTTCAGACATAGCCAAGAGGACTTCTCCTGCTCCGTCTGGAAGTCTGGACGCTCGCAGCCGTATATCTTCAGCCCCCTCATTTCCTCCACACAACACACACCAACCACTGTCTATCCTTTTCTTTAAAGGTCACCTATTATGCAAAATCCCCTTCTTCATGTCTCTTCTACATCAACATGTGTCCCCTCTTCTTCATGTCTCCTCTACATCAACACGTGTCCCCTCTTCTTCATGTCTCTTCTACATCAACATGTGTCCCCTCTTCTTCATGCCTCTTCTACATCAACATGTGTCCCCTCTTCTTCATGTCTCTTCTACATCAACATGTGTCCCCTCTTCTTCATGTCTCTTCTACATCAACATGTGTCCCCTCTTCTTCATGCCTCTTCTACATCAACATGTGTCCCCTCTTCTTCATGTCTCTTCTACATCAACATGTGTCCCCTCTTCTTCATGTCTCTTCTACATCAACATGTGTCCCCTCTTCTTCATGTCTCTTCTACATCAACATGTGTCCCCTCTTCTTCATGTCTCTTCTACATCAACATGTGTCCCCTCTTCTTCATGCCTCTTCTACATCAACATGTGTCCCCTCTTCTTCATGTCTCTTCTACATCAACATGTGTCCCCTCTTCTTCATGTCTCTTCTACATCAACATGTGTCCCCTCTTCTTCATGCCTCTTCTACATCAACATGTGTCCCCTCTTCTTCATGTCTCTTCTACATCAACATGTGTCCCCTCTTCTTCATGTCTCTTCTACATCAACATGTGTCCCCTCTTCTTCATGCCTCTTCTACATCAACATGTGTCCCCTCTTCTTCATGCCTCTTCTACATCAACATGTGTCCCCTCTTCTTCATGTCTCTTCTACATCAACATGTGTCCCCTCTTCTTCATGTCTCTTCTACATCAACATGTGTCCCTCTTCTTCATGTCTCTTCTACATCAACATGTGTCCCCTCTTCTTCATGTCTCTTCTACATCAACACGTGTCCCCTCTTCTTCATGTCTCTTCTACATCAACATGTGTCCCCTCTTCTTCATGTCTCTTCTACATCAACATGTGTCCCCTCTTCTTCATGTCTCTTCTACATCAGCATGTGTCCCCTCTTCTTCATGTCTCTTCTTCATCAACATGTGTCCCCCTCTTCTTCATGTCTCTTCTACATCAACATGTGTCCCCTCTGTGGAAAGAGACTCTGAAAGTTTCAGGAAAAAATATTCTCTCTCTTTTTCTCCTGATCCATTTCTATAAAAACCTGTCTGAAAATGAGCTGATCAGATTTTGGCCACTTTGTGATGTCATAACGATGTTTTGTCTTGTGTAACCGTTAGCCAATCACCAACCAAGGTAACCCCCCCCCCCCTTATCACCTGAATCTCCTCCTAGAGCACCATTGTGTTCTTTGTAACCAAATGTCTCTCAGAGGGGCGTGGGGAGGGGCTCCTTATTTTCATCTAAAGTAACAGACAGAGAATCAGCACTTTGGAAACAGGGCTGAAACAGAGGGGATTATGGGTAATGCTGCAATGATCTGTTTGGTGTTTCAGCCAATCAGAGACATGTTCTGTATATATCTGAGACCTGTAATGTATTGATGAAAAACAGTATAGTAGGGGAGCTTTAAGTCTGTCTTTTCTTTCTGGTTTTTTCTCTCATCCAATCTTTCCCCGTACCTCTCACCTCTTCACCCTTCTCCTTCTCTCTGCTCTACGTGTACGATACAATCGGAAAGTCCTGCTCCATGCCCCTTTGCTCCTCAGTGGACGGGAACAGGAATGTCTAGTTTTCCTCGGGTAACTGCTGCCGACACACCATCCAAACAAATCTACATCAAATTACTTTCACTTTCAACATTCACACATGAAGTAGTATCAAGCTTATCTGAATGACCTTCTTTTTTCCAACAGCTTGAATAACAAAGAGACAAAGCAAACTACTCTTGAAGAAAGCATTTTACTTTGTGGCAAACAGTACAATTGAGTGAATTTAAACAACACTGTGGTGTGTTCTTTGTCAGCGTGCATCAGGGGGAAATGGTTTTTGAAGGGATAAGTTGAGTTGAAATGGCAATTACACAGTTTCAATTTCACCAGTTCACTTTTAACCGTGCGTGACCTATGAAGCAATCATGACCCTTTCCATTGTCAGTGCTCAAAGATGTAAAAAACGAATCATCGGCCAAGCTTTTTAACTTACGACGGGACAGTAGTTGCTGACAGGTTTGAGCTCAAGATGTTCAAATAAATCAGACTGCTAAAAGGGCGCTGAGGCCTACTGTACTGAACTGTACGTCCTTTATCGAAGCTGTGGGAGATAACTGGTACCTTTCAGAGGCAGTTTTGCAACGATTGATTTGCTGAGGCTGGTAAATGTTCTGGGAGACTGCATCGGCTTCTGACTGGGATTTAACTAGCTTTTCTTGGCTGGTTCATGACACTTCTTGGTTGGTATCTGACCATCGTGAAAAACTGTAACTTTGCTCCAAAGAAAGGGCCAACTGCAGCTTCACTCCAAGCCAGAGGTTGCGCTAGACTTTTTCACTGCCCGTCATTTTGACGGACAGGAT